GGGGGGGGGGGGGTCTTGGACCCAGTGGTGTAAAGTAACTAAGTATATTTACTCAAGTACTGTACTTAAGTCACATGTTGAGGTATTTGTAATCAACTTGAGTATTACCATTTTTTGCTATTTTATACTTCTACTCAACTCCAATTCAGAGGTACATTGTGTACTTTTATTTAATACCTTTACAGATTTTGATTAATTATGTGAAATATACAAGTGTTAAATCAGACTTTAGTTCCACCTGGAGTAAATTCACAAGCTACCCTGCAGTATACAAAGTCATTCAAACTAGCTGCACCTTTACCAGCTTTGACAACACATGATCAATCATTATAAAACATATCATATATATTATTCTGAAATGGACCAATCTGCACAATGACTACTTTTACTGTCGCTACTTGAAGACACAAATGATGTTAGTAAAACAAAAACCAATAATGCTAATTTATGTTAAATCTCGTGCCGTCGTGCTTCGGGTCAAGAGCATATTTGTTTTCATGAATGAATGAACCGATGGATGGATGAAAAATATTTGTTGCCCCTCCATCGAAAAGGGGGATACGCGTTAAAGCCTCCTTTCCTCACCTCCTTTCCTCACCTCCTTTGTTTTGTCCTCGTCTCCTATGCCGTTTGCTCCCCCTTACTCATATCATCACATTCTTTGTTTTGTATCCACAACACCTTAACCCATGTTTTTCATCCTCTCATCTACACATTTTTTTCTTTGATTTCTATCAACCTTTTTCCCCTCACATATTTAAACTTGGCATCTCTTTTGGCTCCGTCGACCATTTCTCCTTTCATTTATCTTGATCGTCTTTTTTTGAAACCCCTCATCTTAGCCTTTTTCTGACCCTGCTCACTTTGACTAACTAACCCTCTCATTCTTCTTTCCCTTTTCCCTCTGGCTTTTTGTTGTGCATATTTTAACATGACCCTTTTCTGAACATTTCCTTCTTACACATCATCGCCTGCAATCCCTCCTTCATTTCCCTCCTTGCTACTGTTTTTCACCTCAATTCTCTCCATCCTTTTTACATTTCTTACCACTTCTTCTCCCCTTTCCCTCTCCTCTTTTCATCACCATCTTTAATACATTCCTTTAGTTGTCACCTCTGAACTCTCCTATTCTTCTTTACTCCCTTGTCTTGTATCCACTCCCCTAACCTTCCTCCTCCTTCCTCTCCCTTTCTCTCCAGCTATGATTCTCTCCCTGGCCGCAGTAGCAGCCATGAGTAGCGGTGGGGGAAGCAGCCTAAACTCCTCCTCCCCCCTCGACCCCTTCGACTCCTCCACCTCCTGGAGCCTCGCCGAGGACCCCTCAAACTCCTCCTCTGAGCCCGTGGTGAGGACCCTGACCCCTGACTTCCAGCCGGCCACCACCGCTGTCGCCATCCAGGAAGTAAACCCGTGGGACATCGCGCTGTGTGTGACCGGGACGCTCATTTCCTGCGAGAACGCTCTGGTGATCGCAGTTCTGTTCTACACGCCGACTCTCCGCGCCCCCATGTTCATTCTGATTGGTTCCCTGGCCGTGGCCGACCTCATGGCCGGTCTGGGCCTCATCTTGAACTTTGTCTTCACGTATCTGATCGACAGCTCCGTGGAGTTCGTGACGCTGCTGTCTGTCGGACTTTTAATCTCCGCTTTCTCCGCGTCCGTGTTCAACATCCTCGCCATCACGGTGGACCGCTACCTGTCGCTGTACAACGCCCTGACCTACCACACGGAGCGCACGGTCACCTTCACCTACCTGATGGTGCTCTTCATCTGGGTGTTGTGCGTGACGCTGGGTTCGCTGCCGGCTCTGGGATGGAACTGTCTCCGAGACGAATCCACGTGCAGCATCCTGCGACCCGTCACCAAAATCAACGCCGTGGCCCTCGCCGTCACCTTCCTGCTCGTCTTCGCCATGATGATGCAGCTCTACCTGCAAATCTGCAAGATCGCCTTCCGCCACGCGCAGCAGATCGCCGTGCAGCACCAGTTCGTGGCCATCTCCACCACCAAAGGGGTCTCCACGCTGTCGGCCATCTTGTGTGCCTTCGGGGCATGCTGGCTGCCGTTCGCCATGTACTCCATCGTGGCCAACTCCAGCTACCCGGCCATATACACGTACGCCACGGTGCTCCCGGCCACCTGCTGCTCCGTCATCAACCCCATCATCTACGCTTTCAGAAACCCAGACATCCAGAAGTCGCTGTGGATGGCCTGCTGTGGGTGCTTCCCGTCCAACCTGTCCCTCAGACCCAGGACCTCCAGTGACGTGTAGCACGGGAAGGTTGGTTTTCTGTCTGGCACGATGCTTGACGCTGAGTCAGGGTAGTAGAAGATAGAGCACGAAGATGAGGAGGTTGAAGGCTGTGAGGAAGGAGATTTCCTCGACTCTTCACATCAGGGCGAAACGCACGGCTGGCCACGGTAAACGTGTCACGGGAAGAAGGGTGCGTGGTCAAAAAAAAAGATCATGTTGAGTGACGAAGGTGGCGTGAAACCAACTGCAAAAGCCTGTTTAAGGTATCCTCTTGGTGGCGTCAGGTGACTTTTTCCACTGACCTCTTTCGGTTGAGGCCTACTTCTTAAAAAAGTAGCATATATGTGACGGCAGAATTTAGGCAGAAATGTCCTCAAATCTCCACAGGACCTGAGCTTTTTGGAGCACTGCATGGTTATGCAACCAGAAGGTGTGAAACAGTCTTAAAATACCGGATGTGTTTTCACTGATGTGTTTGAAATTAAGTGGATACAAATACAACGAGCTAAATATACACAACGAATGACCTTGAGTTTTCTCAATGAGCTATCTTTGCCGTCTAGAATATTTCCTCCCCTGAAACATATTTTAACATCGGTGTCCTTGAGCGGATGCAGATTAAAGTAATCAGTGAGTGTATTCACAGATAATGATGTGGTATTATGTGATATTGAAATTAGATGGTGTCCGTGATCATTAGTATTGCTGCCAAGCCCATTTTGACTTTTCCCAATGCCAACAGCACCGTCTGCATTTTGTCAAAGCCACAAACACATCTGAGGAATCCTAACACAGCCTCTCAGAAGAAATCCACTCCTAACATGCAGAGTAAACCGCGCTAGTTTGCTCAAACCTAGAGAGGGATTTCCACATTTAGCCCCGCCGCGTGTTGTCCTTGGTGTGATGAAACCAAATCTGCTCCCCGTCTGAGAAAACAAAACGTGTTTCTTAGCCAGCCGCTGCCTAACTGAAGCAGAGAGAGCACCAAGGACAGCGCCACTGCAGAGCGCTGCTACCCTGGGAAATGCTTTCTGCTGCGGGGGGGAAGAGCGCTGGAAAGTAGGCTACAATGTTCTCTACAACATCTTGAATGTGAGACGGGCGTTTAAAAAGGGCCTTTCCAGCTTTAAAGGAGCGGGATTGCAACACATTCAGAGTCAACGAATGTTTATTTCTTGCATACGTGATGCTTAAATGTGCTTTTAGGATCATCCGCCTCATGCCAGGTGTGTTCCAAACTATGGGAAATCATCCACTATAGCACAACTATGACCCTGTCCTTTCTACCCTTCACCGTTCCCTGGCCTCTCTTCTATCTCAGCAGCAGAAATTATGCATGAGAAAAGCAATGTATGGCCCCATGAGTGCCAGTTAAGCAAGCCTTCCGACATGGGCAAGGTGAAAGCAGCTGACGTTTTTCAGAGGCGAAGGGGGGGGGGGTCGGTGTTTATCTGCATCCGCATAACGCCTTTAGAGACAGCAGCCTAACTTCATTGCCCAATTGATTATCCATTTGCTAGAGCCAAGCACGATCCATATCAAATAGGTCATTTTTCATCTAAGCTGCCCTGTCTGGCTACGGGACTTTTCAAGATGGACTTGCTATAGGTCTGCAAAAAAAAAATTGTTTACATGTTTGCTATGACAAGTCTGTATAAACATGTACACAGAAACTAAGCTAATGCTTTTAAACACGAGCCTCAGATGGTCCAAATTCTCTCTACGCCTTCCATTCTCACTTGCAGCCTGTCAGCAGTTGCTGGATATTGGCTGCACACACACACACACACACACACACACACACACACACACACACACACACACACACACACACAGACCCCTCTGAGGGCTCGGCGGGTTAATGAGAAGCGAGAGAGGCGAGGTGGCGCGGCGTGAAATAGAAACGCCAGGCGAGACGCGCCTTAACGTAACCCCAACACACCCAATCAGGAGGAAGTCATTTCCCACTGAAAAGGGCATCATGTAAGTTGAATCCGGCTAATGTTAATAACGTCTCGGTAATAATAACGCCGGGAATTGGCCCCCGTGTACAGAGAGGGGATTTATTTCCAACCTTGATCTGCATTTAAATGATCCACAGAGGTAGTTCTCACTCCACTCACTAAGCTTTAGCATGCTGCTAATGAACACACGTGGGAGGTGCACTGGCTTTGGGAAAACACTTCGTAGAAACTGTACAGGCTGTCGTTTTAAACTCACCACAGGGAGTCACTTCCAAACTCAACGCTTTCTACCAAATAAACCACAACGATAGACGATAGAGAACACACTCTGAAAATGGCGCTCAGGAGACGCAGGATCTTTTTCTAATAGTGTGCAATGAGACTTAGAGTAGAAGTGTTTTTTATATTTTTCTTGGCAGCAGCAAACAATCAGTTGTTTTTACAGCAGTTGTTAGCAGAGCAACAGCTACTCGTCTGTCGATGACTTTGTTTGAGAAAAGGCAGATTCTCTCGTGTCTTTTTTTGTGTTTTTTGGGCCTTATTGGAACAAAAAGTCCTTCGCAATAACGTCCAAATGTGTTTTGCTGTGTACAAAAAGCCACAATGGAGAAAAAGAGAGGATGATCAAGAGAGGTGGTTAGCGATGAGGGGTTTTAAGTCAAGAGCACATTGTATTTTATTTGATGGGAAATATTAGTTTGCTGGCTGAAAATACATGTTCAGTCAGAAAAGCAACTCATTAAAGTAGGAAGTATCCAATGTCGCAGTTGTTTCACGAGTGTAAGATATATCTAATGTTATGATATCAGTGTAAAACCAAGAATATTTAAAGGTCACAGATGTTAAACGAGTCGACCACCTTCCTCTACCACTCTCTCTTTTTGCTCAATCCCTGCATTGAAGGAACTGCCTCACTGTAAAAGACTTGCATCACATGTTAAGTGAAATTATTTTTGATTTCTCTGAAGCTGAACGATGGATGAGTTCTTTTGGCTAGCTTGGTGAAAGAGAGATAATCAAATGTATTCCACGTAGCATTGTGATGCAGATCTTACTGGCACACAGTTCTCTGGAGGCACAACGATGTGTGAGACGTAGTCACCTGAGTTTGGAGACGCTAGATGGGACGCGGATTATATTTACCGAGGGGTTATGAGATTATGGCGAAACTGAGCTAGCTAGTAGGGCTGCTCAATTAATCATATTTTAATCGCAATTACGATTATGGCTTGCAACGATAACGAAAACAACGAAATTGAAATAAAACGATTATTCTTTTATTATTACAATTTTATTTTAAATACTTGTTTTTTTTTTTTAAGTTGAATTATACTTAAAGTTCAGGGTAATCAACTGTTAAAAACATACTGTTAAAAAAAAATGTCTCCAATAAATGGATGTTTTCAAAGTCAATGAATAATCGCATTTAATAATCGCAATTACAATAATTGACCCAAATAATCGAGATTTTGATTTTTGCCATAATTGAGCAGCCCTACTAGCTAGGCTAATGCTAATGCTAACATAATCGATGTAGATTTCTATTTTATTAAGGGTTCAAAAACTAATTTGATCCAAGTCTGAAGGGAATCATGAGAACGCTAAGTAAAACCACAGATCAGCCATTGTCTGCGTGCTCTGATTGGAAGTTTAAATCCAGCATTGCTCAGCAGGAAGAGTCTGAACAGCTGATCTGAAGTCAGTTATCTCCCCCCTCTGTATTTTTAACATCGTGTCTGACGGTCCCATCTGGCGTGTCCACTCAGTGATGGTTTTAAGAAAGATAACACTCATCTGTGAATATGCCACCCAGTCAACCCTTCCTGGGGCAGGAGTGGAGCGACCACTCACTGTGTGTGTGTGTGTGTGTGTGTGTGTGTGTGNTCAGGCCGTTGTGTCCTTGGGCAAGACACTTCACCCGAATTTGCTCCTGTGGGTATTGTCCACAGTACATGTATAATATCAATGTGTACTTGTAAAAGCGCCTCGATGACTTTGAGGTGTGAAGATGGGCGGTGTGGCGCAGTGCATTGATCAAGGGGGTGAAACCCGCCGCCGCTGCGTCTGTAAAGCCGTTGTGTCCTTGGGCAAGACACTTCACCTGAACTTGCTCCTGTGGGTATTGTCCACAGTAGATGACCATTACATGTATGTATGATCTGTATATGTAATGTGTATTTGTAAAGCGCTTTGAGTCATTGATAAAGCGCTATAATAAATATAAGGATTATTATTATTATTATTAATACAAAATGGAAAGTACCTCAAAATGTGTTCTGCAGAACTTGATTGTGTTCTTCCCCTCAGCTGGTCCGAGACAACGCAGACCTGCGCTGCGAGCTGCCCAAACTGGAGAAGCGTCTGCGGGCCACGGCGGAGCGCGTCAAAGCTCTGGAGAACGCCCTGAAGGACGCCAAGGAGAGCTCCATGAGGGACCGCAAGCGCTACCAGCAGGAGGTGGACCGCATCAAGGAGGCGGTGCGCGCCAAGAACATGGCGAGGAGGGGCTTCTCCGCCCAGATCGGTGAGCGGAGGCACACCCACCACTTTGATAGAGGAGAACATGTGAGATACATGTCACTGAATGTCTCTCTCTGTCCCTTAGCTAAGCCCATCAGACCAGGCCATCACCCTCTGTCCTCCCCCATCAGCAGCTCTATCAGAGTCAACCACTGAAGCCAACAGCAACCCAACACTGTGAGTACTCATTCTGGAACTCGCAGGAAACTTTTTGTTGACTGTTTTTAAATGTAATTGAATGTGTTAAAGGTGTCCTATCATGCAAAATGCACTTTTTGATGTCTTTTATACATAAATGTGTGTCAGGGAACTCACAAAAACATTTGTAAATAATACAATTCTAATCTATTTTATTGTCCTCCAGTTGGACATGGAAATACAAATATCAATCAGGCTTAAATCAAAGTGATGTTCTCTGTTTTACATCTGTTTTTAATTGGATATCAGGATTGTTTCTCAATCTTATTTCTTTTCAAATTCTCTGTAGAGTTAACATGTTTTTTTACGCATACATTTGGTATACAAATACATTTCTCTTTGCTTTTATGGATATAAAGATGTATTAAAAAGACAGGTATACAAACAAATGTACTTATAATTCTTGTGCTTCCTGCAGACAGACCCCTAACGACTGAAGCATGCCCACCACCTCAACTGGAAACAAGCCCCGCCCCTCCTGCTGGAGCACCAGTGGGAGGCCATCACCGCATCCTTCCTGTATATACTGATATTTGACGTCAACATGTTTCATCTGCTGAATGTAGGTACCAGAGGAACAGTCCTGCTTTATCTTTTAGGATCAATCAAAAGCAATTGTCTCCTCATCACAGATTTGTATCATAATTGTGCATTTTGTTGCTTAATCACAACTATTTAAACGAGGCCCTTTGTGGAGGATTGAGAAGTGTAGCAGGTTGCAATATTTTCCTTATGATCGTGAGTTTGTACAGCTTTCCAAAGCTTAAAGAGCCAGACGGAACAGGAAGATATTTAGGCTTTTAAATGAATCTTTAGCCAGCATTTATTCATTTAGAGGAATAGTTTGACATTTTGGAAGTGTGTTCAATCAATATTAGGCACTCTTTTCATTATAGCAAATACAAACATCTCCCAAAAGGTCAAACTGTTCCTTTAAGAATAACATGTCTTTGTTGAGCAGTCGATGCCATTGAAGGTAACAGCTAAAGCTATATAAAGAAATTGATTACAGCCACTTTGTACAGGCAAAATCACAGCTCGTTAAAGTGTGTGTTCAAATATTTCCCCCCTCCAAAAGTTGTATTTATAAACTAACACTTACTAGCTATACTAATACCTTGTGTTTTGGGGCATTTTTGACATTTCCAAAGTTACTTTTACTACTTCTGTCCCCCGCTGAGAATGAAGTGAGAAAGTTATAGTGATTCTGTCAGGGACACTTTATTAACAATCTTTATTTTTTTTGACAAAGCGTCTTGTAAGCTCCTGATCAGACAATCAGAGATCTTAGTACGCAGAGTTAATGACAGATTGATGAATATCCCTTAAAAAAGGCCAATAGGAAGTAGACTTTTGAAACTAATTTAATCCCAACACCCGCTCTCTGTAACGTTACGTGACACCGTTTCTTTACGTGACCTCGTTATGTAACGCCGTTTTCGTTAGGTAACGTTTTAAATATTTTCACATGTATCTCGGCTTATTTGTTGTTTAAAGTGAGCTGGAGAATAACTGAATGTAACTGCATGGATTAGAGCTTGTGTTAGGCATGCTCAGGGAGGACCAACTGGACATTTGTATGCAGCGTGCATTGAACTCATCACGATGACATTTTGTTTGTTTGACTGTGGCATCTTATCTACTGATGCAATTCAATAAAGGTATATATATCTATTTCACTTTTACCATTGTTTTTTTTGTCCAAATAAAATGACAGACTTTGAAATAACCTTGTCATGATATAATCTTTATTCCCATATATTTCCTCTGTAACATTGCACATTATCATCAGTTTAGACAGAACAGACAGATGGGGTATTTTGGTCAGATCACAATAAAAGGAATAGAAAGAATCAATAAATAATAGAAAAATCTTCTCCACACAATCACATATAAAGTTCTACATATTGAGTACAACAATGTAACAGGACAGTTAAACCATTGTTTCTGTACAAATAGATTTTCACATATTTCACATACTTTATGAGATTACTGCACCAACATACAGAAAGCACGAGGTTACAGACGTACCCCCGGTTCTCTGAGTCTTTAAAGGTTCCCAACAGTGACCATGATTATTAATGTTATGAAGCCAACAAACTGCACATTTTTTACCGCAGAGAAAAATGAAATCAGTTGACTTTAACAAACACTCTGGTAAACAACAAAGTGAGGGCTGGGTTTTTCTCGAATAGCACCTTTTGACTGATAATGCAGATAAACGTTAACTATTCCTTTAATTGTTTTCACTTCTTTCTGCACATTTACAGCCAATGTAACAAGTGTTTTGAGATCGTATCGTCAAAGTTTATTGCACTTAATGTAGTTAGGATAAAAACGTAATGACAAGTTCACGAAAAATATTAAATTACAGAGCTCTAGCTATAACTACACTTTTTGATGACACGTCAAAACGACAGTGAATCAACTGGACAGAGACAAGGAGACTTAAATAGCGTAAAGCAAGCTATTTTTGCACCAACTGTTTTTTTTATTTACATTTGCACCAGCAAATAAAGATATAAAAAAAATACTAGCTTGACCAGGAGCTACACAAAAAGATAGCTTTATTTGAATATTAGCAAAAATGTTTAATTGAATTTAATACTGGATATTACGGCAGAAATCAGCACGAATATCCAATATTAAATTCAGTATAATCAAATAAAGCTATCTTTTGTTGTACTGTTACTATTTTTTTTTAAGGTGCAATTGTAAATAGAAAACAGTCGGTTCAAAGGGAAGTGCAAAAACAGCTTGAAGGAAATGGCTTTACACTTAGTTACATTACGCTATTTAAGTCTCCTTGGCTCCGTCCAGTAGATTCACTGCAGTTTTGACTTGTCATCAAAAAGTCTCTAATTATAACTAACGGATTAACATTTTTCTCATTACATTTCATTAAAGGTGGAGTAGGTAAGTTTGAGAAACCGGATCGAGATAAACTTGTTATATTCCATGGAATGCTCTTAACATCCCGATAGCAATGAATATCTGAAGTGCTTTGACAAAAAACCTATAAAAAAATGTCATCTGTGGAAGCCGTAGCGCTGTAAAAAGCACGACCAATCATCTGAGCCGGCCCGGCAAAAATAACTGGATGGTCTACCTGCCTGTCAGCCTTCCATCTGTGCACAAACTTATCTCGTGCCCTCATTGGTCATGTGTGCGTTCGTGTGTGTTGGAGGAGGGGCTCTGTAAGGAAGTGGCAGATTTGTTCCGGCTGTGTATTTTCAAATTCTAGCGCACTCGAGCTGGTTTCTCCAAAATTACCTACCCCACCTTTAAGCTTTCATCTATAGGGACTAAATTAAGTGCAATAAACTGATACGATCTCAAAACACTTGTTACATCGGCTTTAAATGTAAAGAAAGAACAATTAAAAGGAATAGCCCATGTTCATCTGCATTATTGTGCACATGGTGTAACTGTAGCAAACCGAGCCCTGTTGTTGAGCACAGGTCAACACAGATTCACATGCATCCTCCACTTTGCACTCCCCACACAAAAACAATCACAGAAACAGAATCTCCTCGTACTCTGGGTCCTTTCTACACCCAGGAGTCGGGGGAGCCGGTGAACTTGTTGGCCCGGTTGGAAGGCCTCCGCGTGGTGGAGTAGAAGTCCACGTAGTTGGTGTTGGCTTTGAACTGGAGCGCCTGGCTAGCGTAGCCGTCGGGGGGGGTGGGGGTCAGGGGCCCCGGCTCCTCCTCGTCGTACGGCTCCTCTCCGTAGTCTTGAGGGGACGACAGGTACATTCTGTAGCTGTTGTAGTTCTTCCTGTCGGGCTCGTCGTAAAATGGCTCTGTGTGCTGCGAGAGGGAGAGAGAGGGTATCACTTGTAAAGTCACACCAGCATTAATAAAGGCAAAGTAAATGTGTCAATCAAATGAACGTATCACATTCAGAAGGTGTTTCTAACAAGGTTCAAGAAAACACTTTTAATTAAATAATTGTATTGCAGTTATTGGCATCAAATAATGATATAAGATACCTTATTGTAAGGACAAATGCTTGAATTGAATAGTTGTATCATTCATCTGTAATATTCTGAATTTAAATAAATTGAGGTCTTGAAACAGCTTGTTTTTTTTGTAAAAAAAAACACAAATATTCAGTTTTAGTATCATTAATAAAATAAATATATATACATGTAAGGAGTAAGATCAAGAGATTTGTTTGCAGTATTGCCTAAAACATGACATACATGAATAACTGCTTGTTTACTGTTGTTGGACAGCTTGGCCTTTTCTGCAATTAATCTGAAATATTTCCGTTAAAATGGGGCAAAAAATGTTATTGTCCTACTTGGGAACGTCTCAGATCCTCTCCTGACTGGGAAGAGTATGTCCCGATGAAATATGGAGTTTTCTTCTCAGACCCTGAAGGGGACGAATCAGGAGAAACACATCAGACTCAACATGTTAAACTGTCATTATGTGGTGTTTAAGTTTGAACAGAAACCATGCATAGATCCCTCCGCCACCACGGACCTGTGTACTGCCGTTTGTGTAAACTGTTGTCTCCGTAATACGTGTCGAGTTGCATAGATGACTGCGCTCTCTGATAGTTGGAACTGTGTCTCCTGATCCCGAGCATGGCGGGGGAGGATGTTGCACTACCACCTGAGGAAGAAACACAAAAACAACTTTTATTTTACTTTGAGATGCTTCCTAACTTCTTTCAGGTCTAACACCACGGGACTCAGGGACAGTTTCATCCCACAGGCCATAAGACTGTTAAACACCTGAACTAAGAACATCCATCACATTCACCTGTTTGCAATTTACAGATGATTTATGACTTGTATATAGACTCTTATGGCACTACTTCTATTCTATTTCATCTGTTTTATTGTGTTGCACTGTTGGGGGAGCCTGTGACCTAAGATCTTCATCGACATATATCATGAACTAGCATATGGTACAATAAAAGCCGTTGACTCTCTTTAATGTTGACTGCTCTCATCACCTGATTGGTATATGGGGAGATCTATATTGCAATGGGGACTGGTTGGACAGCGTGGGCTGGACAACGGTAGCTGGTCTCGCTCCAAGGGTGGAGACCGGGGTGACGAAGTGGGTGATATGTTCCAGCCGTCCTGCCAACAGGGACATATCTTTAACGCTGTTAATTCGCCTATGATTCGGTAGGGAGGTGACAGACCTGTTGTAGAAGGGTCCTCGGTCTGCTGTATTGCACAAGCGTGTTCACACTGAGCTGCGCCTTCACCACCTTCAGGAGTATGCCGTGCAATGCACAAGAAGTTGTTTTTACACATCTCAATTCAATGTTCAGTTTAATAAAAAAATTGCCAGAAAATAATACATTAATAAAAGATGGATGCCACCTTTCTGGAGAAGTCTGAAAGGAGACATGATATTTCTTTAAATATAGAAAACTAAATCATTTTCAGAACATTACAATAAATGCTTGTCCCACATCTGAGGAACAAGAAATATAACAAAAAGATCAAATTAAATAAAAGTTAATCAAATGAGATCTGCATGTATGTTATTCACAAGTATAAAATGTTGCATTTTTTTACATCTTTTAACAAACACTAAAATTACATTCAATTTTGCTTTTCTAAAATAAAGGTATAAAAACTCAAATAATGGAAAGCGGGAAAAAGAAAAAAAAACTTAATCATTTTTTTAAAGACATACTGTATGTATCTTCAAGAATATAACGAAGACATATCCTTAGACTCTTATTTTAATTTTGTATTGCCTTGCTGGCCTTTTGTTACATGATTGTTATGTTGTAACCAGCATATACATGTATGACAATAAAGATTTAAATACAAATAAAAACGAAATCATTTTTACATTTTCGGTAAAGCAGAGGTTGCTTCATATTATGACCAACAACAAAAAAAGAAAAAACAATCGAGTGACTTTCTTTAACAAAAGAATAATGAATCATTTAGAAAAGTTAAAAGCTGAAATAAATCAAAGGTATATTTATATATGTTGCATTATTCTCATCACAGGTAAAACGCTGCAGTCACATCTCATGACATTAAAAAGGAAGTGATATTGCAGTATTCCTAAAGAAAGTATTTAGACGTGAGGTTGGTTACCCTTTCCCTCGCCCTTTGCTGATGTCCACCAGCTTCTCGATGCCTCCGCAGTCGGCTAAAGCTTTGGCGTTCTCCATGTTGCGGCTGGTGACCTCGTGCAGCGTGCAGCACACCGACGCCACCGTCTCGTCCGACAGCCTGGAGGGACCCCCCCCGGGCAGCCGCGTCACCAGGTCCCGCATGGCGTACTTTCCTGAGGGGGGGGGGACGCACAACCATTGATCTCCATTATGTCATTTATTATATCAGTATTCTATTGTTAGGGCAACCTAATTATGATAAAGAGTGTCATTACTTTGACTCCAGGTTTATAGACCGTTTATTCTAAGGTTTGATTCTTCATTTTAGTACCATTTAATTAAGGGCAATTTATTCTAATTCATCTCCTTGTTTTTGAGTTTCTTTTTTTTTATGTGACACATTCATCTTAATCATTAATGCATTAGGTCCTTAATGTTTCAGCTTTTATTTGATTGTGATTACCTTAAATACTGTTGGGTAGCTTTGATTAAGTGTTATGCTTAATAACACTTAATATGATGATACACTATAATATATGTTCTACTTACTGTAGTTACTTCCCACCACTAATAATCCAGACGTTCACCAGTTTGAATATTTACACCTGTATTGCAGCTATTGTGCACAAGGTGGCGCTGTGCTTTTAGAATTCAGTCTGATGTGAATAAATGGAGTTGCTGTGATGCAATATAAAACTCTAAATATATATTTTTAACAAGCTGTTGATGTTCCTAGAGTGTGAAGAGGATCTTTTTCACAGTTTGGGCTTTCTGGAATCAATCTGTTCGTTGCGTGCTTGAATTTATAACCATAAGTAGATTGTCTAGCAGCAGCCACATGGATAATTACACTGTGGCACACACACACACACACACACACACACGCACAATTCTGTGTGTGTGTGTGTGTGTGTGTGTGTGTGTGTGTGTGTGTGTGTGTGTGTGTGTGTGTGTGTGTGTGTACCTATGAGCTCCTTGTTGCGGCTGTCCAGCGCCATGTTGCGGAGGGCGGTGGCGACGGAGCACACCACCCGGTCGTTGTCCATCCTCAGCAGCTCCACCAGGATGGGCAGCCCTTTCTCTTTACGCACCGCCGCTCGGATGTAGGCTGAGAACTGGACACACAAACACACACACACACACACACACACACACACACACACACACACACACACACACACACACACACACACACACACAGAGTGTTATTGCTTTGATCCCTATAGTGCTGTGTTCTGGCTGTATAGAGATAGATAGAGAGAGCTGCTCCACCTTCCAGTTCCCGGCGGAGAGGTTCTGCAGGGACCCGGCGGCCCCCTCCAGCGTGGGGGGGTTGGAG